GGTTAGGAAGTGTGAAGTTTTGTGTGTATGATTTCTGTACAAAAACAAAAAAAACTCTCCCTGAGTCTTTGCAGCTTCCTTGGCCATTTCAAGCCCTAATTCAAAGTCTTCATCGCTGCCACACTCATGCCTCCCACAACCAGGCTAAATGCCTATAACATTGTGAGTGTCTGATCCTATCCCAGTAAAATCAGACCTTGCCCTCACTTCCTATTATAAGAGGCAGCAGGCCTTTAATAGCCCCTCCAGCTCCCCAACCCACCCACCAAAGTCTGAGAACTCCACCTGGGCTCCTCAGCTCAGCTGGTGGGGTTTGAGGATTAAAACTAGCTCCTTGGGTCTCCCAAATGCCTTGGTGCTCCCAGCTGTGAGCCATCTGAGGCAGGAAGTTGAGCTGTTTCTTGGCCTGGTTTGGACAGCCCCAGCCCCAGCCACAGAGGACCCCAGAAGCAGGCCTGCTTTGGCCCTGTTGTTCTCTGGCCAGGCCGGCCTGAGGCCCCGCTGCTATGGAGACTGCTTCCTAGTCTCCCACCAGGTCCCAGGTTGTTAAAGGCCCCACCGCAGAGATGGTCAGAACTCGGGGGCTGAGTCCACTGCCCCTTTTGCCAAACGTATCCAGAACCTGCCCCATCCCTGGAAATTAGCACCTTCTGGGGCCAGGGGCTTGCTCCCTCACTCTATGGCCCCTCATCTGCCTGCAAACCTCCAAGGGTGCCCAGGCACTCCCACCAGCAGAACTGAGCCTGCCATACTCCTCCTGCCTGCCCCGCTGCCGGAAGAACCCCTGCTGCTCTCAAAAGTAGGTGGTCCCACTCATGCCAACCTTTCACTGTGGCAACAGGCAGACTGCCTCCAGACCAGCATCTGGAACACCTTGCCGACCCCTCTCGGCCCCTTCTCCCTACTCCTATCCTGCCTTGCAGCGTTACCTTGGAAACGTCTGTGCTGTGTTTCAGAGACGTGTGAGCCACAGGTGTATCTCGTAACTATCTTGTGTAACTCTGAATTGCTTCTGGTGGGGACAGAGGAGTGGTGATTGGGGCCCACCTAGAATGAGTGGGCCTGGGAAGCAAAGCTGACTATAAAGATCAACCCCAACTAACCCTGGGGAATGTCTTTTCTTCCCACCTCCTTTCTTGGGCCTGTTTTTTGATTCTCCTAGCACTTCTACCTCCAGGTAGAATGGGCTAGGTTTGCAGCCTCGGGGAAGGGGCTACTGGCCTCTCTCCTAGAGCCTTTCCTTCGCAGCCCTGTAAGGTGGCAGCTACCCCATCCATGTCTCCAGTTTGGCAGATGGGCTGCATCTGCCTCTCTTCCATGCTTGTCTGACTTGAGACAGACTCCAGCAAGCTCATCCCACATTGCTTCACCACCTGGGGCCTGGTAAATGTCTGTAATTTGGGATGTCTCAGAAATACATTTTTGTGCAAAGTGCAGAGGAGCGGAGCGTCTTTTTTATAGAAGGGATGGGAGTAGCTGAACTGGCTCCCAAGAGAGGAGAGGGGACTGGGCAGTGGACCTAGAGTGTGGTTGATTCTGTGGTGGGGGAGATGTTTTCATTCAGTCTATTTGCCCAGCTACAGGGCTTATCAGCTGCAAGTTGGAAACAGGTGGCAAAGCGAGCTGAAGTACCTTTTCCATTGGCTACCGCTGGCACTTATATCAACGAGAATTGTCCAGGATGGCTCAGTCTGGTGGTGGAGATGGGTATTAATTATGAGATCATGACCTGGTGTGGAACAGGTCGAGAAGGCCCCCCTACAGGTAGCTCTCAGGGTGATTGAAGACTGGAGTTTGCTGGGCAACACTGCTTCGGGGAGAAGGAAGAACAGGTGAGAAAACCGTCTTCTCACAAAAGGAGGTGCTGGGCTGAATCTGTAAAGACAGGGAAGGAGCATCCTATGCAGAGGCCCTGTCAGGAGAAGGACCTAGCATTGAGAACAATGAAGCACCCATGTGACTGCAGCAAAGTGAAGAAGCTAGGAGCAGGCAGAAGTGGCTGGAGCCAAATCATGTGAGGTGATCAGACCTGTTGTTCCAATGTCTGGTAACAGTGCCCTCGTGTACTCTCAAAGGTAAAATAATTATATGGTTCCATTTCTCAGAGCCACATGAGAGTAAGCTATTGAACCTGCTACTTGGAGCACTATCTATCTCTCCTCCTAGGACTGAACTCTCCTCTTCTTTTCCCTGAGCAGGGAGCTTCCCTGTATTTGACCACCCCCATGCTCTAGTCACTGACCCACTGGGCAGAAAGGGCATCAGGACCTGTGGATTCTATCCTTGGATTCTGGTGGGTAGTCAATGTCTGGGAGGGAACAAGGGCATTGCCAACCACCTTCAGTTATGTGCCAGGCCCTGTGTTAAGTACCCTATGTATTCAGTATAATCTTCATAATTACCCATTTTACAGATGAGGATGCTGAGACTCAGAAGTGAAGTGACGTACTTCAAGTTTACCACAATAAAGGAAGGAAAATTGAGAGTTCTCCAAATATGCCAGACTCTTTCACTTCCCAGCCCTGATACTATGCCATTTCCTGTCCCCTAAATACTTGTTTCGCTTCTGATTTGCCCGGTTTAACCTTCTCACCCCATCACATCATTCATCTCAAGGGGCCAACATTAGCTTGGCTGCCTCTCCCTTTATACTGTGTGCTTAAGTCAAGGCTCCTTGGTGACCCCACACACAGCACAGGGCCTCCAAGATTAGTTTATCAGATGACTGGAAAAGAGGGAGGGATGCTAGGCAGGATTTGGGGACATTCTATAGTCTGGAGTGCAATCCTTGGTTTCACAAGTAAAGAAATTGTATTTTGTCCATCACTGCCCTCTCAGAAAGACTCTCCAAAGGTAAACTAATGTCTAAACCAGAAAGCCATTTTGTTGATTTTCTGTAAGAAATGTGACCACTAACAAATCATCCCATGGACTGACAGATCCATATGTAAAGTTCAAACTCAATGTCCAGCAGCAGGCAAGAGGGTTGTGAAATGATCCCTACCATCAACTGATGCCAACCTGCAATGAACCCACCTGCCTGCCTGTCTTACTGTCATTCCAACTGAAATTGACTTATTTTTTTATCTCCCAGCAAGATGTGAGTCCCTGAAGGCAGGGATCAGCCTGGGCCCTTGGACCAGTTACAGTGCTTTAGATAACTTCAGGAGAGGCAGGGCTCACAGAACCAGACAAGCTGGTCTGCCAGGCCTCGGGAGAGATGTGTCCTAAAGATGTGTATGGGCCTCTCCAGTGCTCTGCCACCCATCTGATTAACCCATCCCAGCTGATCTCCTTCCCTGTATCCCTATGCTCAAGATGCAAAGCCCCAAAGTCCAAGAGAAAGTTATTGACCAACTTGGGTATTGTGTCCCACTTCCTTGGGGGCAGAGAAGTCAGAGCAATCTGATTGATAGTACCACCTAGACCACACCAATAGGGAGGGGTAGTCCTCAAAGGCCTGTCTATGTACTGGTACTAGATCAAGGGAGAAATGGATGCCAGGTGGTATACACCCAATGCCCAGCACAGTTCCTGATTCATAGAAGCTCCAGAGTTATTTAAATAAGTATGCTGAAAGTTCCCACACGGCACAATCCTGTACCCATTGCAGTTAAGACTGAGTTGCAAGTAACAGAACACTCAAAATCCTTCCTGGGTTAATCAAAGATGATAACCCATTGGCTAATGCAAGTAGGAAACTCAGGAGTTGAGATCTAGACATAACTGGATCCAGGGAGCTCAATGTTGCTAAGACTATCTCCCTCCCTTTTTCAGTGCAGCTTATCGCTACATCTCTTTATAAGTAGCTCTCATTCTCTTTTACTATAAACACATGGAATAAAGATGACTGTTGTTGGTTTTACTTATATCCTATTCTATAGCCACAAGATGCAAAAGGATGATTTGCCCTGCTGAATCGCGTGTCCACCACCTAAGGCCCATAAATGGGACAATGAGATGGAGAGCCATGATTGGTCTCATTGAGTTGTATATCCAGCTTACTTCCTGTTGGATGCAGAGAGTCCCAACAAAACCACATGGGATAGGGAAGAGACAGTTCCCTAAACAGAAAAAGGGTCCTTGAGCTGACAAAAAAACTCAGTTATACTGCAGAGCTGGGTGGGGGCCATCTGATAAGTGTTGGTATCAATGAGAGGTGGTGAGTGGAGAAGCAGGGTTAAATGGGAAAGGTCGTAGGGGCCCAATGATGGCCTATGAACAGATAAAAATGTGTTTCATCTTAGAATAGCCTGAAGCCTCTGGTTGGGAAAGTCGATTTGGCAATCAGTGTGTTCTTTCAACTACAGAACGGGGAGCCTGAACTTGGGCAGCTACTGGCCCAAGTCATCGTATTTTTTTTTATTATCTCATATGCATGCAAAGGAGTTCTGGTGTGGCACTTTGGGTTAATGCGCCAGACTGCAAAGCCATTTGAACTGCAAGGTTCAAGCTCACCAACAGCTCCTCAGAAACACTATACAGGGTTGCTATGGGTCAGAACCGACTCGCTGGCACTTTACAGCAACAGAAAGCATGCAAAAGCTGGACTGTGAATAAAGCTGAAGAATTGATGTTTTTGAACTTTGGTGTTGGCAAAGATTAGTGAATAAACCATGGACTGACAGGAAAATATGTGTTAGAAGAATGTACCTTAGAATCGAGGGTGGTGAAACCTTGTCTTGATGTACTTTGGACATGATAAGAAGGAATGGTAACTACTTACCAAGACATCAAGCTTGGTAAGTAGTTGTGTTATGTGCCTTCGAGTCAGTTCCAACCCATAGTGACTCTGTATAGGATTTTCTAGGAGCAGAAAATGGTGAACTTGAACCATTAATCTTGCTATTCAAACCAACTTAACAGTCTCGTGCATTAATCCAGAGCACCACACTAACGTCAGGGAAAAAGAAGAATGCCCTCAACGAAATGTATTGACAGTGGCTGCAGTATTGGGCTCACACAGGATTCAGGAGCTGGGCAATGTTTCTTTCTATTGTACATAGAATTGCTATGAGACGGAATCAACTCCACGACACGACACTTAACAACCTTGGGTGAGCCCTGCCTCTCTGCAGGTCTCAGTCACCATATCTTCGAAAGGGACACAAGACTGCATCCATGAGTAAGTGTAAGCTGTTGTTGTTAAGTGCCGTCGAGTCGGTTCCGACCCATAGCGACCCTGTACAGGGTTTCCGAGGGTGTAAATCCTTACGGGAGTAGAAAGCCTCATCTTTCTCCCGCGGAGCGGCTGGTAGTTTCGAACCGCTGACCTTAAGGTTCGCAGCCCGATTCGTAACCACTACGCTACCAGAGCTCCTAGAGCTACTGGAGTTGAAACGCACGCGACTTGTTAGGGCCTGCACGCATGCGCGCGGTTGTGGCCTTTAGATGAGGGCCAAGTGTAAGAGGGCGGGGCCAAGATAAGCTCTTTCTCTTGGGCTTTCAAAAGTTACCTGCCTGGTAGGGGTTAGAGTTGGGGGAGTTACTGGCTGCGCGCGCCCACCCGCTTGCCCCGCCCTCAGTCTCTTTAGGCACCTGTTGGCTCGAGGGCTCATTCGGTAGCAGACCCCATCCAATAGGCAGCCTTTCTGATCTAACCAAATCCCGCCCACCCCCAAAATCCTCCAATCGCTGAGTGGCCGCAGCCTGTCTGCCTAGGAGGGTCCGCCCCTCTGGGCGCTTCTTCCGGGTGTGGCCCCGGACGGAGGCGATGGCACCATGGACGCTCCTCAGTCCTGGGGTCTTGGTGCGAACTGGGCACACGGTGCTGACATGGGGAATTACGCTGGTACTCTTCCTGCACGATACTGGTGAGCCGGACGCCGTACGACCCCGGACCCACTCAATGCCGCTTGGCTCCCCAGACGTTTGGGACTCTCCCTTATCCCCAAAGATTCCGGGATACACCCGATCTCCAGCTCTCAAAGCCCTCTTCTCCACCTGTCATAGCCACCTGCTTTCCGTTTGATACCCAGTTGATCCATACTTAATCCTAGCATTTTCCTGATCCTTGCCTGATGCCTTGTCCAGCCAAGGACCCATTCAGTGTCCACCAGATCAGAGGACCCCCCCGAACCTTCCCAGGAACTAACTCCCAACTGCCCTCATTCGTAAGATCTCGAGGCTCTACTAAATTCAAGGACCGGCGTCTCGCCCACCCTGATGGCCAGTAGCTACCCAAGTTCAGGCTTCCAGTCCTTAAGTTAAGAAAGCACACTGATTGGGGAGCCACTAGAAGCCCACCTTCCCATCCTCGCTTGTTGCCCTGGAACACCCTCTACCCTAATCATTTCTCTCAATAGCCACCTACCCAGTGCTTTATCTAGAGCCAAGGCCCTCCAGCATAAGTTCTTACCTACCCCCACTACCACCCATACCTCCCTGCTTCTTTGCTGCAGACTCAGCCCCTGACCTCTTGGCAGTTTTACCGTTCATCTCCAAACCTCAAGTCTCCTCAGCCACCTCTCCCTTTAGACTAAAAGCTTGCTCAGAAAAAGATCTCCCAACCTTTTTCCTTCCTTTTGCAATCAAGGGACACTGTTTGTCCACTCTGCTGGACTGACTCATGACCCCTTACAACTCAGCCCCTCTGCCTTCCCTAAAAAAGCAAGCCTCGGTCACCTTCATGTACCCAGGCACTAACTAGACCGTCCCTCATGTCCCTCTGCAGCATCCAAGAATGTCAGTCCCATGCTTCTGTGCCTCTATCCCAGGGACATCTCAGACCTGGCCAGTCTCTCCCCACTACATATGCCAAGATTTGGCCTGAACCCACATCCAGTTAAATCTTAGCGTTTCTACCTCATCCTCTCTGTCTCCGCTCCTCTCGACCCTCCCTGTCAGAGTCCTTATTCAGCTACTCTTCTGCCAGAACAGGCCTTTCTACTCCAGGCTGCCTTACTGATCCATCATTTCTCCAGAAGCAGAATTCTGTAACCTTCTGTGGTAGTGATGTGCCATGGAGTCGGTTCCAACTTAAAGCGACCCTGTACAGGGTTTCCGAGGCTGTAAATCTTTACTGGAGCAGAAAGCCTCCTATTTCCTCCACAGAACAGCTGGTAGTTTCGAACTGCTGACCTCGTGGTTTGCAGCCCGATTCGTAACCACTATGCTACCAGAGCTCTTCCTGTGGTTCCCTATTATTCTCCAGATAAAATACAGTTTTGTTTTGTTTTTTTGCTGGGTCCCAATTTCTCCATCCTGGACCCCTACTGGGACTACACCTGACCATTCTTCACACCCCACCTTTGAGCCTTTGCTCAGCCAAGAACATCCTTTCCCACCTCCAGCTGCCCCACACCCATAGCCTTCCATTTGGCCCCACCCCTATCCTCTCTCCTGGTCTCTCTAGAGCTTCGGCAGTGGGAAGAGCAGGGGGAGTTGCTCCTGCCCCTCACCTTCCTCCTCCTCGTGCTGGGCTCCCTGCTGCTCTACCTGGCTGTGTCCCTCATGGACCCAGGCTACGTGAATGTTCAGCCCCATCCTGAGGTAACCGATTCCTCCTCCCAGCAAAGGGGATCCAAGACCCCAATAACTATCTACATGTTAGCTCTGTGCTGAGGGCTTTTGTGGGGCATTCTCAGAGAATCCTTGTTAATCCTTTGAGGCAGGAACCTCTTTCTACTTGAGGAATTCTTTCTACTTGAGAAAATCAAGGCCCAGAAAACAAAAGCAACTTGCAAAGATCACACAGCCTCCCTCAGTCCAAAGTGCTTGATTCCCCCACCTCATCACCCCCATAGGATGATCCCCAAATTGTCCATACCCCAAAGGAGATGCCCAGCGGTACTATCTACCTGCCAGGGTATCCCATCTTCCGCTTTGTCTTTCTATTTTCAGGAAGAACCCAAGGAGGAACAGATGGCCATGGTTCCTCAGGCCATCCCTCTTCGGCGTTGCAGACATTGCTTAGTGCTGGTGAGTGAGTCTGGACCACCACGGCAGGGGCTGGTCCAGACCTTTTCTTGATCTACTACCCTAGGTCTCAGGGCTAAGTCCTGGCCTTACTTCTCCAGTAAGCCCTCCCAGATTCAGGCCCACCGTTTCCAATCCGGGCTGGTGGGTCTATAGGGATGCAGTGTTGAAGCCATATTGAGCCCCAAGTCTCCTCAATGCCCACAGCAGCCACTGAGGGCCCGGCACTGCCGTGAATGCCACCGCTGTATCCGCCGCTATGACCATCACTGTCCCTGGATGGAAAACTGTGTGGGAGAGCGCAACCACCCACTCTTCGTGGCCTATCTGGCATTGCAACTGGTGGTGCTTCTCTGGGCCCTATACCTGGCATGGTAGGTACTGCCTTAGTCCTGGGGGTGGGGGTGTGCAGGGGTGAGGGGGGCAGCAGGCAGCCTGTGCCCACTAGGTCTACACAAAGCCAGGTCTCCTTGAGCTGAGGGAAGCTCCCTCTTCAGGGATATGGGACCCTCTCCCACATGGCCTCTCACCCAGGCAACAGGGACAGGGAGCACTGGTACACTCCCAGCTTTGGGTCCCCCACCCGTGTCCTACAGGTCCGGCCTCAGGTTCTTCCAGCCTTGGGGGCTGTGGCTACGGTCCAGTGGGCTCCTGTTTGCCACCTTCCTGTTGCTGTCTCTCTTCTCATCGGTGGCTGGCCTACTCCTGGCCTCAAACCTCTATCTTGTGGCCAACAACACCACCACCTGGGAGTTCATCTCTTCACACCGCATTGCCTACCTCCGCCAGCGTTCCCGTAATCCCTTCGACCGTGGCCTGATCCGCAACCTAGCCTACTTCTTCTGTGGATGGCCCTCAGGGTCCTGGGAGACCCTCTGGGCTGAGGAAGAAGAGGGCAGCAGCCCAGCTGTTTAGGGTCCCTGAAGGCAGAGCAGCCATCTTGTACCTGAACCCAGAGGGGCTACACCCAGCAGTATCTGTCCTCAGCCCAGGGCTCGTCACTCCTGCCCACTGCCTCCCAGGCCTCAAAGCAGAGCAGAAGGACAGAATCTCTGTCTCAGTGAGCAACTTGGCCCTCCAAAGGAAGGAGAGCAAGAGGACCTGTGGGGTTCTCGGGCACAAATGGACCTCTGGCTTCTGAGACCTCCACCTGCCCCCTGAGCCAGAGTATTTCCTAGTGCACAGTTTTTTAAATTTAATAATCCATAAAGCAAGTCAAGTATTCAAAAATAAACCAAGTCACTACTGTTCTGGTCCATCTCCTTGAAATCAAGGCAGAGGAAAAGCAGGAAGCAGTTGGTCCAGTAGCACTGAGCAGGCCCCCATATCGGGGTGGCCTGATGCTACCATTCAGAGCCCCAATGGCTCATAAATACCAGGCAAGGCCTCCAGAGCAGGGCTCACAGGAAAGCACACAGGTGGGGGAACAGAGATTCTGGGAGGGGCCCTCAGGGCTCCAGGAATCGCTCTGACACAAAATCGAAGTTCCGGAAGGCTGCCTGTTGGCGGGCAGTGAGTGGGCTTCGGGGGTCAGGTGGAGTCAGAGCAGGTGGCAACCCTGTGAACTCGCCTTCAAAGTAGCGCAGGTCTGCAGGGCCACAGAGGATGGGAACAAAGGGGGGCTGGACAGTTCGAGTGAGCAGGGCCTGCCAGTCGGTGGCCTGAAGGCAAGAGTAGAAGGTCCTGAGATGGGGGCCCTAGTTCCTGGGCTCATGCCAACCTCCCATCACACCTCATGCTAGCTGGGTTCTGGCCCCCCTTGGCCCTGACTTCTCACCCTGAAGAAAGGCTGTATCTTGATCTCCTCAGCATCCTGCTCACCTGCCCCCAGGCGCTTCTCTGGGCACTTCTGGAGGAGCTGGGAGAGAGGACCGTGTAGATGAAGGCATTCAGCTCCAGTGCTGCCTGGCTCCCAAGTACCCATGGTAGAGGGCATGTGAGCTGTCCATCCCAGCCCTGGGCCCGCCTGTGCTTACCTTCTGAATGAGCTCAAGCGCTTGTATAGACAGGAAGCGGGGATAAGAGGCAGCCTTGTTGACAATGCAGTCGAACACCTCCTCCTCAGTGTCTCCTGGGAATGGGCACTGTGGAGACAGGGGCTCAGCAGGGTCCAGGGGTCACCCCTTTCTGACCTGGAGGCCCCAGCAGCCCCAGCCCAGCACTCACCTCACCCACCAGCATCTCATAGAGCAGCACACCCAGGCCCCACCAGTCCACTGCCCTCGTGTAAGCCTCCTGGGTTAGCACCTCGGGAGCCAGAAACTCCGGGGTGCCACAGAAGGTGCTTGTCCGGTCCCCAAAGCCGATCCCTGCAAAACCAACATCTGCTTCATACCTGCTCACATTGACCTCTGGTTCCAAGAGTCACCAGCCAAGCTTTCTGACAGCAGAGCCTTATATGGCCAAGCTTACATGCCGGTGTCACACAGGAAAGAACCCAGTTAAGTCTCCAGCCCTGACCACTCTGCTTTTCCCTCTCTGCCAAGAACAAGTTGAGTTGGTCTTTTTTTAAGAGCCTCTGGAGCGAAAGGGCCAATGTGCCCTGCTGTTTCCTGGAATGAGGACCAGGGCAGGGGAACCAGGACATCAGTGGGGAGCAGACTGTTTGGGTGATACCACATGTTCACCACCTACCTGCCCAGGCTGGGTGGACACTGCTGGACATGGGACCTTGCACAGGCAGTACCCACCTTCTTTGCATAAGCCAAAGTCTGCGATCTTCAGAAACCCCTGGGCATCTAGTAGGAGGTTGTCCAATTTAAGGTCCCTAAGGGCAAGGGGGCAGGTCATAGAGGCTGAGAAAAACTGGGACCTAGAGAACAGCAACCCAAACCAAAGCACCATGGTGGGGAGCAACCATTACCCCTACGCGCCCCCACAAAAGTTACCTGTAAATGATCTTCTTTTCGTGTAAGAACTGCAGCCCCAGGACCACACAAGCCAAATAGAACCTTGGGGAGTGGGAGGCGGATGAGAGAGTTCAGGAATGCAGTGAGCAGGGTTGGAAGGCATGATGGCATGGCCTGGGGACCCCTTTGATGCCCTGGCCAGGTCAGGTGACAGAATGAAACAAGTCTCCTGCCAGGTTGGAAGACTCATCCTGACAACTGTCCTGAGGTTGACCCAAGGTCACGTGTACTAAAACCTGCCCTGTGCCAGCAGTCAATACTACTCGTGCTTATTTTTCAGATGAGGATCCGAGAGTCTAGGTAAGTGGCCTGCCCAAGGTCACACAGCTAGTGGCAAAGCTGATGTGGGAACCCAGGTCTTCCCCACTCCAGAGCTGGCCCTCTGGTGGGTTAAGATGAACAGTTGTAGCTTCCATTAGTTGTACACCTTCTGTTCCCATCCGTGTGATGGACAGTTTATAAATGTTCCTCTCATCTATACAACAGTCCCATGAAAGAGATAATATTGGTCCAATCCACAGCAGTAGCCCTATACAGTAGATACTACAGGCCCAATTCACAGCTACATAAACCAAGGCCCAGGGTCACAAACACAAGAGTTGAGAGCCAGGATATGAGCCAAGACCTCTCTCACTCCATGCTCTTCTGTTGATGGGTGACTGGAGGAAACAGGATGGAGGGGACTGGGTAGAGAGAAGCAAGGAAAGCTTACTGGTAAAAGCAGGGAAGAGGGATGGGAACCCACCGGGCCTGGGGCTCAGAGAAGACGTCCTCGTGGATCTGCATCATGAGATCTCCTCCAGGTGCAAACTCAGTGACGAAGCAGGTATGGCTGGAGGTCTGGAAACAGGCATCAAGGGAGAGCAGGAAAGGGTGCCCAGTGCGGCCCACAGCCTCCAGGATCCGCTTTTCACAATACAGGCTGCAGGGTAAGGTGTAGGTCTCAGGACAGGAAAAGCACCACAGGGTGCACCCAGCAACCTTCATGACACCTAGGGCTCACTGGATCCTCAAAGGGCCAGGTGGGTAGAGTGATGGCTTCTATAAATCTGAGCTCACTTAGATCACATAACCTGCCCACCATCAGTGCCCCCATTCTACAGATGAAGAAACAGGTTCAAAGAGAAAAGGAAACCTACTTAAAGGGCACACAGTTAATAACTGCAGGCACTAAAAAGAAAACCCAGACCTGGCTAGCCCCAGAGCCTGCACCCTCAACCTTAACAGGGTCATCTCTTACCTTCTAGATGCCCACAGTCCTAGCCCCAGCCATCTTAGGTGCTCTGGGGAAGGCACACACCCGCTACACACCTCTCGATCTCATCCCGGCAGAGCACCTCTTGCTTCTTCAATGCTTTAATGGCGTAGTATTTCCCCGTCCCCTTGAACTGGACCAGGAGGACCTGGGGGCAGAAAGCAGTAAACCCAGGTGGGCAGTGCAATGAAGCCGCCCCACTGGACTTATACTTCCCCCACTCGCTGCCCCCACCAAATCCCAGTGTCCTGCCCCTGCCTAAGTCTACTACCTTCCCAAAGTGCCCACGGCCCAGCACTGCCAAGCAACGGAAGTCCTGAAGTTGCGGGGGTTTCCTGCAAGAGAGAAGGCACAGGAAACCCCTAGGACAATGGCTGAGCCCCCACTAGAAGTCCCCCTCTAAACTCTCCAGGTCCAGTCCTGGGTTGTCCCCACCTATAGTACTCATGGGACAGGGGCTGGAGAACCCTGTAGGGTGAGTTGATCCTAGGGCAGCCATTTCCAAGAATGTGGGCTCAGTGAGTAAGAACCTGAGATTAAGCCAGTGATACATCAGGGAACATGGGAGTAGTGAATGAATGAGTATACAAATGGTCAGGTAAGGGAATAAATGTCACAACTGGGGCTACCTGGTGGGTGAGGCTGGGAGAGACGACTTCAGTCCTGTCCTGGGCTCTATGTGAGGGCGCTTGGTACACTGTGAAGGCAAAGAAGCTCAGGGTCCAACTGGGCTTCCTCCCTCCTCCCCCTAGCCAGGTCCTCCCAGCCTCAGCCCCCAGAAGATACAGCTCAGCCTTGTCCGTGCTCCTCACCGGAGTTTCCTCAGGAGTGGGCTCTCGGGGCAGGTAGATGCGCGGAGGCTTGGGTGGGGGCTTCGTCTCTTCTCCCAAAGGGGCTTTTCTAGGTGGGAAATTACTGTGGGGAGGGGACAGACACATGGCTAATGGAATGGTTGGCAGGGATGGATACACAGCCAAGCAGAGAGACAGACAGGACTGAGAAAGAAGGAACAATGGAGACTGAATGATGGACAGACGAAACCTGGAAAGAGATGGACATCACAGAAGAGCATGCAATTGGGCAAAGGTGGCTCCTCACCTGGGGGAGGCAGGGTCAGCAGTCCCCCGGGGTGTAGTTGGGGCCTGGGGGCAACCTCTAGGGGGGCTGATGGTGCTTGGGGAGTTGCAGGGGGGCAGCAGGTTCATGACCAACCGTGCCCAGGCCACCATGCTGAGGTTCATCTGGGAAGCCCTTAAGAAGTCCTGGCCTGAAGACCAAAGGAGGGGCTCAGTCCTGGGTCATCCCCAACAGCCCAGCCCGGCTCCTGCGCATACAACCCTCATCCCTTCTGCACCTCTGCGTTTAGAAAACACTCGTTTCTGCCTCTGCAGCCGAGGCCTCCTCTCAATGACGGGGTCACAGAAGGTCACCTGTGGGGGCAGGGGGCAGGGCTAGGATCAGTCCTCTCTGATCTCACTGCCATGGCACCTCTGCTTGGCCCCCCAATTGCCCAGTCTGTGCCCCTAATATCAATAAGTACAAGAGGCAGAAGGGCTCAGAGAGACCGTCTATGCCTTCGTCGGTCCCAGTGAGGAAATTGAGGAATCTATGCCTTCGTTGGTCCCAGTGAGGGCAATCAGGACAGGGATGTAGGTTCCCAAGACTCCTGTGTGGTGCCCTCTCTACTGCCCCCAGAGAAGGGGTGAGAATCCTGTGTCCTTGGAGACCTCCCTCTGGACCCCCACTTCCATACCTCTGCATGGGTGGGACACACAGCTCTGATGGACCAGGGACCTGCAAGGACAGAGGGCAGGAAGGGATGAGCACCTGGGCAAAGAGCAACCCCTGAGGTACCAGGCTGAGGGAGAGCTGGTGACAGGCATTGTCCAGGAAGTCCTCAAGCTTCAGGAAGGCCACACCACACAACTGCCGCCAGTCCCGCCAATGCACTCCAATCTCCAGCTCTCGGGCCTAAATTGGGAAAAGCCAGATTAGGGATAGAGTTGTAGAACCAGCCCTCACTTGGTCAGCCTTCTACTTCATGAACCAAGGGTACCCCTGAATTCACAAGGTCAGCTTCACCTGCTCCAGAGGGATGACAAAGGTCTGGTCCCAGGACTGGTTGGCCACTGGCCCCCAACCTGTCTGACCCACAACACGATTGTCCACCTTCAGCACCGCTAGCACTTCACCTGCAAAAGGCCAGAGGCGGGGCTCAGGTCAGGCTATGAGCAGAGTCCCTTGCTCTCCCCAAGTCCCCCAGGTATCTGCAGTCCCCTACTCACTGGCTAGCTCACCCACACCACGATGCTGCTTGGCCCTAGCCCGTAGCCAGCCCTCAGAGGGGCTCCCGGCTAGTGCAGCTGCTGGAGAACGCCCAGGCACAGATGTCAGTAGTTGCTCACAGCCCAGGAGGCGAACCTGCAGCGTCCCTGTGGGGAGGCACAGGTGGTGGTGTGTGTGGGAAGGTGCCATCCTCCATCACCACAATAGGTCCCAGGAAAGGCAGCTTCTCCCAGAGGTGGCTGAGCCCGGACCCTGCCCACATTAGCCTTGGCAGCCGCCTGGCATCCCCAGCACAGGGCATCTGCCACCCAGTCTTAGGCACCCTCCATGTGCTGAGGGCAGCAGGGGATGGTAGAGCCAAAGGAGTCTTAAACCTCAGCTCAGGCCACATAAAATCACAGGACATAATGAGATACACCGGGCTGAGGGCCTAGAACTTCGAGCAAAGAGCAGAAGGGCTGGCTCCTTGACCCACTTCCTCCCTGGGCCTTAGTTTCCCCACCTATACAGGGCAGATGAGTCCCAGCTCTGTCCCACTGCACACAATGGGTATAAAATGTGTGGGACTCAATTTAAGGGTCATTATAGCTGTGTCTCATAAGAAGTAGGAATCAAACAGCTTTTGAAGACATAAACTGAGTAACTGAGTCCAAGAGCAGCTGGATTTAGGGAGTCCAGGCCTGAGGGTGATATTCAGAGAGGCAGGTTCCCAGGGTAGGAGAAGCATCTTAGGAAGAAATGGGGTTTCTAGCCAGGAGACAGGATATGGGGTGTACCTATATATCTGAAACTCCAGGCACTGTTCCCTGTCTTTTCCAACTTGTCTAGCTGGACAACTCTCACATGTCCTTCAAGACCAAGCTCAGACACCATCTCCTCCAGGAAGCATTCTCTGATTCCCCGAAGCTAGGTGAGGGAACGTCTGTACTTCCCCTTCTCAGCTCCACTCACAGTGAAGTGTGGCCTGTTCTCCCCTCACTAATGCTCTGTACAGACAGGGACTGCACTGTCTAGTTCACACTATATCTCACTCAGGTGGAAAGCTCAGGCCTTCAAAGTTGCTGCTTTCAGACTGGGACACCCCTGCATTGCTGGTGGGACTGCAAAATGGTCCAACCTCTCTGGAAAGCAATATGGCGTTTCCTCAGAAGGTTGAAAATAGAAATACCTTATGATCCAGCAATTCCTCTACTTGGTATTTACCCACAAGAAAAACGAGCCACAATCCGAGAAGAAACGTGCACACCATTGTTCATCGCAGCACTATTTACAATAGCAAAAAGATGGAGGCAGCCAAAGTGCCCATCAACTGAAGAATGGATAAACAAACTGTGGTACATACACACAATGGAATACTACACTACCTTGAAGAACAAGGAAGCTGCAAGCCACCGCATAACATGGGTGAACCTTGAGGGCATTATGTTGAGTGAAATTAGTCAGTCACAAAAAGAAAAATACTGCATAGGACCACTACTGTAAAAGACTAAGGAAAAGAACCCATACTAAAGGGTGGAGGTGGAGGGGGACTCTTTGTTGATTATTGGGATGTTGGGGGTGGGTGAGGGGAGGGAAGGGAAGATGGAGCACAGGGCAGGGATTAGACACAGGATAGTTTGGGTGCTAGGGAGGGGGCAATATACAAGTAGGGAGAGGGGAATGGAAGAACAAAGCAGATGGGAGAACAATTAGGTGTCAATGGGCTAAGTGAGACATATAAATAATGATATATGCACAACCTGGGAACAACAGGTTTCTGGAATACAGAGATAGAACCATGGCTGGAATGTGGAAAAGGGGGGAATAATGTTAAGAAGCTTGTATGTCTTTTCAATCTTCGTTTTCCTTGCATTATATTGTAAAATAGACACTGGAGAGGGGAGAGAAAGGAATAGCAAAAAGCATCATCATAAAAAGCAACAATAAAAAAATAATAATAAGTTGCTGCTCTCAGATTATTTGTTGGTTGCAATTCAGCTGCTACTACACGGAGACAGAACTCAGCTCAGGATAAGAATGAATTTTCTAATTGTCCGAGTTGTCCAGGACTGGGAACCAAGGTCTCCAGGGCTTTGAGTTCCCCAACACTAGCATTTTAACCATTATTGTGGTTGCTGATTTAAATAATTTATTTAAATAATTTAAATAACAGTTATGCACGCTGTGCCAAATACTGTGTTTACCAATTCATGTGCAAGAACTCACTGAATCTTCACAGAAATCCTATGGGATAGGTGTTATTATCCCCATCTCACAGACAGGTAAACTAAGGTTCAGAGAGTGGATGTTAGTTAATCAAGGTCCCATAGCTAGTAGGTAGATGGAACTCTTCTCCAAAGTTCTTCCCCACTGTGGTCATGGTCCTCTGTGTATGCAACATGGGAAGAGCTCAGAAGGAGATGAGACTCCTGGTTACCTGTCAGGGTGGTGGGCTTCACAAGTGTCCCTGAAGGCTGAGGATTCCCAGGCACAGCAGTCTGCAGTTCCCGGGCCACACTACCACGCAGTGGGTGGGCAGGAGGCAGTCCCTCTAGCAGCTGCTCCAAGGCCAGGCGCAGAAGGTCCAGCTTCTGAGAGGACTCATGGAGCTGGACCTGAGCCTGCCGAGGAGACAGAGACAGGGCTGGCCCATGGAGCACAGGAGATGGGCACAGCAGCCCAAGCCACATTGAGAGCCCCCCCTTCCCCAATGTGGTCTGGGCAGAATGCTATGTCTCCTGTTTCCTCATTCACATTCACACAGACTCTCATTACTGTGGGGGTAGGAGCAAAGGGGTAATGGGAACAAGCCAACCCTTGGAGGGGAGAAGAGAAAAGAGAGGGCATAGTCTAACCTCGGCCAGTGCCTTTCGGTCCTGTGTTCGCCGGTTGCCCAGCAATTTCACCACATTCTTAGCACCTTCAGCCACAGCAGCTTCAATCCGAAGTCGATGCCGAAGCTCTTCCGCCAGCAATTCAGGACCTGGGGAAGAGGAAGCCAGCAGGATCCCTCTGGGTCCTCAGGCCCATGTCCTCTCTGCCCTGCCCATCCCTGCTTCTCAAGGCCTCACCTGGCTCAGGAGACACACTGGTCTCCAGACTGCTGATCTTCATCCTAAGTAGAGCCACCTTCAGCTGGCTGTCCCGAAGCATCTGCTGAGCAGCTGCCAGGATCTTCCTTTCCTATGGGGTGGCAATACATGCTCCACCAGATAAGGGACTGAAGGCAAGCCTCCCACGTCAGACCAAACCAGTGCTAGGGTCAAGTCTCCCCCACCAGATCAGGGTTGGTGTAAAGCCTTTCTCATCATAATCAGAGCCAGGGACAAACCTCTCCTATAACACATGAATTGGGTTGAGTTTCCATGATGCTGGAGGTGGGGACTGGGCTGTGCTTTCCCTCCCAGACTGGAGACATAGGCTGAATTCCCACATTAAATCGGTGTCATATTCTCTCTTCTAGAGTAGAGGTTAGCGTCAAATCTTCCCTACCAAGCTAAAATCTGGCCCTCTGTCTCCACTATCACGCTAAGTGTTAGGACTGTGTCTCTTTTGTCAGCTGAATTGCTTTTTCTTATAAGAATCAGTACTGGAGCTGCACCTCTCCTAATAACCTGAGAGTCATGCCTTTCCCATCAGATTAGAGGCTAGGGGTGTACTTCACCCATCACACGTCTTACCTTAGGGGTGCCACTGGCACATGTGTGGGTCATATTCTCAGCCCCCTGTTTTACTTTCAGCTCCACCTGCAACTGCCTCTGTAGAGCCTCCAGGTGCCGAGCCCTTGGTAGCTCTGCCCGCAGTTGGGGTCCTGAAGCCACAGGTTCTGTGCATAGAGAGTGTGGGGCACATAAAGCCCTGACCAGAGCCTACATCTCTCCTCTCCTTCTCCCCTCCTGAGGGGCACTGGCAGAGGAAACCCTGAGAGGCTCAGAGGAGGAAAGTAGACTGGTCAGGGTAAGGCCCAGGAGACAGCTTGGTCCAGTGCTTCCTGTCCTGAAGGGTGTGTTTGCATGCCTCACTCACCAGCCGGGCCGGCCCCATGGCTAGGCAACAGGATGCGGGCATGCAACTCCCGAAGCTCCCCATGCAGCTGCTCCAGGCGGCGATTAGAGGAACGCAGGAGCTGCTGCACGTGGCCCAGGTGGCGGCGGTCTGTGGCGACCCGCCTTAGATTCTCTACACCTTCCTTGATCTTCAGCTCTTTCTGGATGGCTCGGCGGATCAGCTCTTTCTCATCCTCTGGAGGCTGCTGGCGTGCTCCAGGCTGTAGAAGGCAGAAAAGTCACCCTGTGAGTCCCTCCCATCAGCTATAGAGAGAGAGAGAGGAGTGAACAGTACCCAGGAGCAACAGACACAGGGTTTGAGAAGCTGCTCTGATCTAAGAGTTCAGTACCTCTAAGTCAGATGGTACCTGAAAGGTCATTGATCCCACTCATGCATCTATCCTCTGCTATTCAGAAAAAGAAGAGTTAGGAGGAAAAAGACAGATAACGCTTGGATGGTTATTGAGGGGTGCCAAGTTGTCTTCAGAGTTTTCCGTTATATGACTCTTTCATCCTCAAAGCAGGCCCACAAGGTAGGTGCAGTTAGCTTATGGATGAGGAAATTGAGACATAGAAAAAGTAAAGTGGCTTGCCTAAGGTCACAACCCAAAAGGGATACCACCATCTCTTGGCCCCAGTTTCTCCCTGCCATCCACCTTTAATCTGGCTGGTTTCTTGGTATCTGGGAGGCCCGCTGCTGAAAAGGGTTGTTCCAAGATCATATGGAGAAGGCAGTGAGAAACCTGAGTTAAAAAAGGTCAGGGTTTGTTCCTCTGACACCCCAATGCCACAGGGAACAAAACAGAGGCACAGAGAGGAGCTGAGGGGAAAGCTGGGGGGCTCCTAGGGAAAGTAGGACGCTCTCTTACTACTTTATTCCAGGTTGGAGAAAAGAAGAGGAAAACCTCCTTCCCAGAGGCCATTTCAAACCTACCAGTGCCAAAGCTGACCTCAGCCTGGAGTAACTGGTGATGACTCCCCTAAACCCTCCCCATAGGTTCTTTCAGAGTCCCTTATGTTCCCCCCCCACCCCTTACCTTTCTCCTCTCCATCTCCTGAGATCCTGGAAGGGGTAGTCACCCCAATCTCAGGTCCCCCACCCCAGGCCTGTCTTGGGCCTGCTCGGCTGGCCTGGCTCTAGAAGGTAGGGGCGAGGCTCAGGAAATCCTTTGACCGCCCTAGGCGAGAGGGCCAGAGCCAAAGGCCTGAGCAAACAAAGATCCCATGGAGCTGGGGGCCCGGTCACTGGCGTCCTGAGTCACCAGTGCCGCTGCTGGGTGGAGGCTTGCAGGAAATCGGAAAATGTGTACAAGTCACCGCTGGAACAAGCAGCGGGATCCAGAGGAAAGGGGAAGGGGGGTGGTGGATGCAGTTCTGAGGGACCCCTAAGTAACTGTGGTAGGGGGATTCAAGTAGTCTCTGCCTAGAACACCTCAGCCTTGAACATTCCCTGTGGTCCTATCTGCTCAGCGCTGGGGCCCTACCTGATTCACACACGTCTTCCCCTCATTCTCATCTGCTCTGGACTAAGACACCTCCCCTTCCCTTATAAAAGATGCACACACAGCCTTGGCCCCTGTGCCCATGCGCACCAATAACTAGCTTTAGGCTGAAACCCTGCCGCCCTCCACGTTCAGGGCTGGAACCCTCTGCGTCTGCGTTCTGGGAAGTTCCACCAGGGTACTGGGCCAGAAGCGTCCCCTTTTGGAAGCTCTCTAGGCGCCTCCTATGCTCGGAGAACCCCGCAGGTGTGAAGATTGGCTTCCTCCTAGGAGACCCCTTCCACAGCCTGTGCACTCCTAGGACCCTTCTCTAAGTGCCCATATGAACCTCTTTTGTTTTCCCGACTAATTCCCATCGACCTTGGTGCCTCGTCTGAAATAATTTTAGAAAACTTTGGGGCCTCCATAGGGTGGCCCTGATTGCAGATTCAGACGTGCTCAAGGGTGGACCTGACGAGAGGCTCTGAATCACCTCGTTGCTGATACAGGGAAATTTCCTGGAGCATGAACGACTTAACCCGTGTTCAGGTTTTCACTGCTGTAGTGAGGCTCGCGGCACGAGCTAGAAGTGACGCGGGGAGGGGTAGAGGGCGCAGATTTAGGGGACGAGGTTTGTAGCTCAACCAGAGTTTTCCCTGTACCCTTTTAGTTCCCGCCCGCAGCCCGACATCTCCCGGAGCAGTTCACCTGCTGCAACGCCCCCTCCTCCATGGCGCCGCTCGGCCCCTCCTCTCCTCCTCTCCGGTTCCGGAAGCTCCGGCCCTTCTAGGACTTTCAAACTTGAAACTTCCCGGGAAGCGGCCCTGGAGCAGCGGGATCGGGCGCCCCCTCCCGAGACCTTGTGATTAGCGCCGCCTCTCGGCCGCTGCAGATCAACGCCCCAGAACCCACTCCTGAAATGCAAGGCCCCAACGACTCCCCAGAGTGGGATTTGGATCCTCTTCTGAGGCCCCAGCCATGGCTCAGCTCAGCGATTCCCGCCCCAGAACGGAAGACGCAGAAAGAGGCATTTCTTTGGCCCTGGTTCCTTAACACTGTCGTCCGGCACTCAAGAGAGGCGGACGAGGGTAATGAGGAAAGGCCCCATGGTATATTTCCTCAGTACAATGTTAAGTGCCGTTGAGTCGGTTCCGACCCATAGCGACCCTGTAGCGGGTTTCCAAGGAGCTACTGGTGAGCTTGAACCGCCAACCTTAATAGTTCAAACCAACGTTGCAGTCTAGCGAATTAACTTACAGCGCCACAACAGTACAATAGATCTTAAAAATAGGAGAATCAAGTGATCCTGAGCTGAATGGGTATGTGCCGTGGAGTTGGTTCTGACTCATAGCGACCCTGTTCAGGGTTTCCGAGGCTGTAAATCTTTACTGACGCATAAAACCTCATCTTTCTCCCGAGGAACAGCTGGTAGTTTCGAGCTGACCTTGAGGTTCACAGCCCGATTCGTAACCACTACGCCATTATCCATAATTCATATGTAAAAAAGACTAAAGCCAGAGAGCTGTTCATAGGCTTAAGATACCCTTAGAATCGAATTTGCAAGCCCCCACCCAATAGTGCAATCAAGCCAACCAGCCAGCCCAATGTTAATTAACATTTAAAAATACACTCATTTGACAATGAAATGTTGAGTGTTGCTTCTGGAAGCCAAACTGGTTACTCAATTCAGCTCTCCATCTCTAGAACAATTTATCTATACTCCCAGCAGCCAGGAAGCGGAATTAGGTGAAACAAGAACTCAAGATGGTTTTCCCAGCTTGTTCCAAAAGCTAAATTCCCAGGGTCTCCAGTCCCAGGCTGATGGAAGTCTGACCAGAGCTGCACCTGTGTGATGGCAATAATTAACGTGACTGATTTTTATGAAAACTGAAGTTGGTGCTCAACATCTAGACAGCAGTGCAAACCAACTCTCCAAATGACTGATTACTAAGACTGTCAGCATAATAGAAATGACTTCTTAGACAGTTATATAGGGTGTTTCCCCTTACAAACCTTTTGCTTACTAAAAACATTAAGTACAAACACCAATCAAGTTGAAACAGCTACTTTCAAACTCATTGTTCTAATTACAAAATGGCAGTCCTTTTCCTAAAACCTATTAAACTTCACAAGCACAGCCACATACTAATGGTCGCTGTTGAAGCTAATATTGTTCTCTGTAAGCAAACTGAATGGTTGTTCATCACTCTGGTCCAATGAACTTGTCCCAACTTTCAGCAAACGTTTTCGCCCTTTGCAACTGAATTCCATATTCACCAAGGCCAAAAAGGGTTTAACATCAAAATTATTGAGTATTAAAATTACATGTTTCTGGACCCAGTGAAGCCACATGTTATAAGGCAGTAAACTATCAAGAGCCAAGCAGCCTACTAGTGAAACAAATTTGTCAGCCAAATAAGACCAGGTTATCTGTGGACCGTTTCCATTTAAACTAGAATTTAAATGAAGAGTTGGGTCAACGGGGGCTCTGGGATGTTATGGAAGGTGAAAAAGCCAATTAAGTATTTTCTTTGAAATCAGATCATTGGAGAAAGTTAATTAAAAACTGCAAGAATTATCTGAACTGGAATATTCCTATAGGTTTTTGAACCAAGTATTATGGACAGAAATTACTATCTTTCTAATTCATCTAATTCTCCTTGCAAACTCAGCCATGTAACTATGCCATGCCTTCTTTCCACAGCCACTTTTTTGTTTTAAACTATGCTCATAGCAAAGGGGTTCTGAGTCACTAACCTTTACCAATAAACATTTGCCTGTATTTCCCTTGCAGTTGGGCAGAAAGTAACTTCAAAATTTAAGCAGTCTGGGTGGGACTGATTAAAGGATAGTGGATAATTGCTATCAGGACTCTAAGAGTTGGAAATGTTAAGGTTTTGTAGCAAAAGGAGGGGAGTGGCTGACCAGTCCCTGTGACTATCAAAGGACAAGAGTGTAGTGCAGGACACTACCTAAAACAGTGAGGCCAGAGATAGAGCCAGATACCATGAGGTGGGAGAGATGGAGCAGCTGGAAACCCTAAGCCTGGAGAAGGAGGAGCTGTATGCTGAGGACCAGGGGGCAAGCTTTAGGGGTGTACCATTTGGCAATTAAATGATAGGATGAATGAAAAACTAATATTCTCCCATGTAAACTACCACATAATTCACAATAAATAATACCAATCTCATTTATTAGTACTATGCAAATAACATTGGTGTTATAGGTTTGGCCATTTTCTTTTTATTTACCAACCCTAAGAGTCATAGTGTGGTGCAGCATAACAAAGTTGATTTGGACCACAAGGTCAGCAGTTCAAACTCACCAAACCAACTCCATGGTATTTAACCACCACCTGTTTATAAATTTTAAGTTTCCCCACCATCCTGCCCCCTCCCACCGTATAACGAAGGATGAAAGCCAAAAACTCACATAGCTTACCATCATCTAAACCCAAAACCAGATGAAATTTCTCTACAATGAGAATGACCCCAGTCAAAAAAAAAAAAAAACACTTTATGTTCCTTTATTGGAGCAAGATTCCTGACCAGTACAGTGATGTATTAACTAAGTATAGAGATGTGTGCAAAGAAATTACATACTACTCATCTAAACCATTTTTGTTACACGTAGTTGCCTCTTAATGGAATTGTTCCGTTTATAAAGCTTTATACATCAAAAGCTTTGAATTTGCCCAGGTTGGCCATTGATTGTTCTCTGAAAAAATGAAGTGGCATTGATTTAGCTACTATATTTTACAGCATTAAAAAAGATTATGCATTAAGTTAGATAGCTTCTCAAAATGACATTATATGCACAATGGCATTTAGTAGGCTCCATCATCTCACCCAGATTCACAAGTCTCATTTGGTAAAAATTTTTTTTTTTCTAGTTATGCTAGAGCTGGTACTGGAGACAAAGAGGTGCTCCTGAGTTTCTCACCACCAATACCAACTTACAACAAGCTAGACACATTAAGTGCCAGTGAAGACATGCCAGCAACTAACTGCCCTGCGCTGACTTGACATTAGAGCACCAGGTCTGATGGTGGTGGCAGGCACTGAAATCATGATTACATCCACATACATAAGGGCCCATATTTTAAATGTCAATTTGAGATAGAAGGCAATGATACACATACTGAGTTTTGCACAACCTAGTATTCCCCAATGTGAATTCTTTAAAAAAAAAGGCAAATTGTACCCAATGTTTTCCAGCTACAAAGTTTTTAATATTTGATTCAACTTCCTTTACTCAATCCACATAGCCCTGAGGTCATCCTGCAAAAGTGCATTATAAAAAATATGGAGTTATGGTGATAAAGTTTGACAATGATAAGTTATAAACAAGTCAAACTTGGGTATCTTTTAAGTTTATCTGTTCTGAGAGAAAAGCATCAAATCCTTTGTGTACACATTTAGTTTTATTGTAACAAAGCAACTTGTACACTTTTAACGTTTAAAACTGAGCATCATCTTTCCTTTCCAGTGAAAACAAAAAGAATTTTTAAAAATAAACAGGAACAAAATTACAATAGAGAATGTCAATTCCAAATAAGATCCTACAGGTTCTGCTGATTCTCCCATCGAGTGGCAGGGCTCAAGTCATCATTAGGAGAGAATTTTATTTTAAAAGTGTCATCTTAAACTGCAAGGATGTCTGTTAAACATCACAATTAAACATGCCAAAGGAGAAGCCATGTTGTCAAAATGCCCACTTAACCCACCCAAACATCTCAAACCCACCCTTTGCTGACCTTCTATAACCCCATTTTTTTTTTTAAGATTTTTTTTCTTTTTTTTTAAACAAGAGAAAGTAGACAGATACATGTTGGTAAATGCTAACTGTCCATATTCACATAGAGACACAGTGTAATCTCTGAGCCCAATATACAGAGAAAGGAGGAAAAAAGCTAGAATTCTATGCACTACTACACAGGGGCCTAGCACCCTCCAGCTTCCAGCAGAGCGAAGGGAGCAGAAGGTTTGTTTTTTTTTTCCCACAGAGCACGGTGGTGTGTTGATTCCATAGTTGTTGAAACAGGAAGGGATAAAAATTAATTTGGGAACAGAAAGGGGTAGAGATTCTTTTCCCACTGTATCTGCTCAAGATATTCCCCCCACCCCCAAAATAAATTGAGAATCATGGTGTAAAGGAGAGAAAAAGAGACCTCAAGAACAGGGCGACTGAGCACAAGAGGGGAAAAAGAAAAGAAAAAGAAGAAAAAAAAAAAAAAGACTGCAACTTGCTCCCAGGGACTGAAGAAAATTAAAAAAAAAAAAAAGGTTGGAATCCATCAGTGTTCTTATTAGTCATCTTCTCCTTCATCCTCCTGTAAGAAAAGTGGGCATTAATTAATCAAGTTTGAAGTCCAAGACTATTTGCTAGTTTTCATATGATACACAGAACAATATGACACAATTAAAGGATACCCTGTCAATTTTCTGAACCAGACTATTAATCTGCATAACGTCTAGGTATAAAGACCTAGTGCTATTGTTTCAGATAAATTAGTTAACTTTTCAGCACTAATCACGTACAATATTTCAAATCAACCAAACTAAAAAAATTAAACCATTCAAGAACTGTAGTTTTAAGATTTTTATTTGCAGTATTTTCCAGAATTTAACCAGATGGTGTCCCTAGCACTTTAACCAAATACTCACTAGGGAAAACTAGTCCTGAGTAGCCATAAATATCAACACCAGAAAAACTGAATGACTAAAATGATAATCAAAATTTGATTGATGTTGAACAAAAGACTTCTCTTTTCTACAAGTCCTCGTCCAAAAGAGTTCTGGGTCAGCTTCATTATACAGTATATACAAAATCCCAAATAGTTACACAAGCAACAGAATTCTTTTTAAGAATTAGTTCAAACTCCTAATGAGTATCAAGATTTTGGTCTTTACTCAACTTAGCAAAATTTCCTTTTACCTCTCCTTCCTCTCCCTCATCATCATCTTCATCTTCTTCTCCTTCATCTTCATCCCCTTCTTCGTCAATATCTTCCAAACCTTCTTCTTCTTCATCATCATCATCATCTTCTTCTCCTTCCCCTTCTTCATCATCCATATCAGGAACCTTAAAAAAAAAAAAAAAAAAATCAACCACCACCAAGAATTACATTAAGAACATTTTCCGTCAAATCAGCCAAGAGCAACCTTGTATGAACTTTGCTAGTATATTTTAAACACACATACACAAGAACATTTCCAACTCACCAAATAGTACTGTAATGGATTTGGCCAAATATCATCTTTGATAACCTCTCCTAACTCATCTGCACCTGCATCAGAATGATCAGTAAACCAAGTAAAAAAGCTCTCTGGTTCTTCATGCTGCCTCTTCCTGCTGGCTTTATTCTGTGTTTGACTTGAGCGTTTCGTCAAATCCTAAATGAAGATGAAAATAATTTGAGAAAGGATCTTTGTTAACATTTAACCTTTTCTCCAAAAAGCAGAACAATACAGCTATCAGGATGGTATCAATACTCTTATCATCATACAAGAACTTAAAATATACAATGGATCAAAAACAATTCTAAAATTCTACGCCCTCAAATTTTATGAGTTTTTACTAAAGAGAAAGTACCAACAATTAACTTGGTTTTTAAAATCAAATTATTGTTGTAAGTCGTGTAGTCTGTTCTGACTCATAGTGACCCTATACAAGGTTTCCAAGAAGTAGCTGGTGAACTTGAACCGCAGACCTTGTGGTTTAAACCGACTTTACAATCTAGTACATTAGCCCACAGTTAAGTCCATTAAAAAAATAAAACAAAGCACAACAATATAAATATAATTATGGCTTTTATCTTTAAATGCAAACAAATAGATTTTGGGCAATAACTAATCATTTAGAGACCAATCACCAATAGAGAAACTGCCAAAATTTAATCTGATTCAAACCATCTTGTATTATAATTTATTAACAACAGATCTGTTGTCAGTTCTGACTTAGAGCAACCCTGCATAGGACTTTCTGAGGAGCAGCTGGTGGGTTTGAACCTGACCTTGTAGTTAACAATCGGGTGCTTATCCTATAGCACATGACACTAGGTATTGCACTTGGCTTCACCAAACTACAGTTTCTAATTAAAAAAAAAGTTTTTGTATTTATAACACTTTACTGATTCCTCAAAACCGTACCTTTCCAGATTTCCATTTGATTTCAGTTGATTTTGAGGATGGATCACCACTCTCATTCAGATGAAATTCTTTGGAGAGAACTTTATTTTCGAAGTAAGGATTTTCATCAAAATACTGCAATAAGTGATTTTAGGGTGAGAAATCAATACATGCAAACAGGTCTTCTATTCATAACTCTAGTTAGTTGTCATAGTGGTAAACCAAACAGAATTACTGATACTTACAAAATCTATTCTGTAACCTGATTTAATATCTTCAAATTCTGTCACTTCAACTCTGGTCAAATAATGCAGTGCCTCTTCATCCTCCTCCCCAAGCAACGCAGACACTAAACCAACAAATTACAAGTCAAATTTTTAACTTGCAAACATAACTACTGACTTAACTCTTTTTCAAAATATCTCAGATTGGTAACATCCTTGTGGTTTCATAAATCCATTAACTGTTAAATACTTTAGATAGAGTATCCGAGCTGTTACCATCATATCAACATCTCAGAGTTCCCAGTTAGTATCAAAAGTGACTTGAGTTGATTCCTGAATCATAGCAACCCCTCTACAGTGTTTCCTAGTTGGTCTGAACTGTTGACGTTGTAGTTACAAGTCCAGTACTTATCCTACAGCACCAACACTAGGACTCCAACTAGATTACAGTAGAATTCTTAATTTTAAGGCCTTTTTTCATTCTGAGTATTTTAAATTTCAGCATGCAAAGCAGCATGCCAGACAAAGCCTCACCAGAATCCCTCTCCACACTTATATCAGTTTCTATTTGTACTAATATTCTGCAGTCCACTTGGAGGAGAGGAGCATACCTTGTGGATGGTTGACAAATGTTGTTACCCAAAAGTTTGGAATTTTGGCGATCAATTCTGACCTCTTCTGAAAGAATGGTTGGCGGAGTTTGTTATATTTCTGTTCTACTTTCAAAATCTCCTCACTGGCTTGTTCATTAAGTCTGAAGCAAATGAAAACACACATTGACAGTGATGGGATTTCACAACTATAAAACCCAGTTGAGTCCACTGTAAATCAGTACTTTTATCAGTGCAAAGTGCCTACTTATAATAACTAAATGGTCTAATTTCTTATAACTTAAGAAATTTCAAGTCAAGCATAAGATGATGATTTGCTATAAGTAATACAACCATCTTTCTCTTAAACACTCAATAAATGCAGTTCTTGACTTAAAACTGCTTATTTGGAACACTTTGCTAACAATGTATATTTGCTTCACCAACTGTTACCAGGTCAACTTCAACTTCTGGTCAAGTAACAAAGTTATAAATCAAGTCAGGGCAACACTGATACCATAATACTGAACTACTTATTAGAAATCCACACACTACAATTTTGACAATTTGTAGCTTTTGAAAGCAAATCCAAACTTGGCAAAAATCAATGTATCTTTATCCATATTTTTGGTGGTTGTACAAATTGTTTCATAATGAACACCACAGTATTTCCAAACCAGTTCTAAGTATCTCTTGTCTAGCAAATACAGATTCAGTTGACCATAGTTTCAGAGACCACTAAAGCCGTTAGTTGCATCTCAGAAAACTCCTCTCCAAAGTAAATTAAGGAAAAAATTTACCTGTCTATTTCATTTTGTACTTCATCAATATGTTCAATTGCTTCCTGCTGTTCTTTTTCTGCAAGAAAAAGTTGCATAAAGATCAATACTAATTAGAAAATAAATTTAATGACTTTACCTTAAACAATTATGGTACAAAGATTTATCTAGTTTTCCTGATGTAACACTGTCCGCGATATGAATTATAACTCAATAAAGCTGTTATAAAAACAGTCTACTACAAGGCATACTCTCCACGTGTTCATGCATTCAGTTGACAAATTACTTTTTAATTAGTCTTTCAAATAAAGCTATCTAACTTGTCTACGGTAGAAAATATTTTACTGTTGTATTTAACGGTTCCTGCACAGAAAAAAGACAATCTACCAAAGTTTCTATTACGGAAAATTCTTGAGGTATATTATTTATATCACAGATGTAACCGAAGTTACAAGTAGCGAGCCAGAATACAGAAACTAACCCCATGACAATGAGGAACCACCCCTAGTCAAAATAACTTTTCCCAAAAAGTTGAAGAGTCTGCGCAATATCTATCAAAATTAAGGCAGACATACCTACGAAGGCAGATGCTGCACCACTTAGCAATCGTAAACAGTCCTCCACCCCCACCTTTCTTAGACTATGATCAGCCCCGAGATTTCTATCTGACCTTTCTTTCTCATCTCCCCGCCACCAAACTCAGGCGGGCGGCTGTTTTCAAATGTGGCCCACCCAAATGTGTAGCACTTACTTGTACGGAGCAACTGCTAAGTTAGAAAACTACGAGAGAAGGAGGGGAGTCGAAGCAAAGGGGGTGGTGCTACGGAAAAGATGCCCTTTTTCCTCTAGATTAGGGCAGCAAAACCTACCAGCCCAAGTGGGCGTGAAAGAGACCGATCGGGCGGCTCACTTCCGGCCCTCAGCGCGGGGTTTGTAGCCCCCCTACCGCGAAAGTCTTTCCAGAAAAGGTTACAATGCTTTTCTACAGACGTCTGCCAGCCCGTGCCGCCGCCGCCCGCCTGGGTGAGCACCCCACGTGGGGAGAGCGCCAGGGCCCGGTCAGAGCATCCTCCCAGCCGCCAGGGCCCCGAGTGCCGCCGGCCGCGTGCTTCCCCCGCGCACCCCCTCCGCCCGGGCCGCGCCGGAGCCT